GTGGAGTTTTTATATTTATAATATATGATGCAGTTAAGTAGGCCTGGAACGATGAATAAAATAAATATTCAAATGTATAAAAAATATTAACAAAATTACAAATTTGAACCAGGGAAGTTTCTGAAATTTGGTTGATTTGACATGGAATTACTCATTTGCATAATAAAAATGTTTTAATGAGTTCATTGTGCAGCCTTAAATTGAATATCTCTCTTTGTGATTATAAAAATGTAAGGTAAGGAAATGGTGAATGACATCATGTGTTTTTTGAGGTTTAACATTTATTATTATTATTATTATTATTATGGACTTTTAAATTTGATCCAATAGGCGATTGCTGTCATTGGTGAGGATGCATCCTCTGTTGAGGGTCATGTGAATGTCCTGCATATCCAGTACAGCAAAGTGCGACCAGACACCTTGGTGGTCAAAGACCGATTGCAGTGAACGTTTGCGTGGCAAAGAAGGGAGATAAGAGATGGAATGACTGTGGAGGATATACTCAAATACCCTTTCTTAAAAACACTCTCAGAGGTCAGTGATATCACAGATTTTAAATCAGTTCTCAGCTTAAAATAAATGTTGAATATCGATATAAAGTATGTATACAGTATGCTAAAATGATCATTCACAGTTATAACTTTTGTAAAAACATTGTAATTTTCTAAACCTTCAGGTGAACAAATAATTGTGCATTCAAGCTTAGAAATATTTGTACAGTGATATAAAAGGGAAATGGCAACGAAAGAGGCAACAAAGAATATTAAAATGTCTGATTTGATTTTTAGTTAATGTGAATGATTAACTTTCTCTTTCTGTCAATATTCAGTTGTGTGATTAAGTTGACCGAATGCATTCATCAACTGTCAGTTTAAGCCAGCGCTTCAAGGACGGCTTTACCAGTATTGTGCCAAAGATGCTTGAGCTTGTTCAAAGAAATGCTCCATTGGCCAAAGTCTACAAAGAAGCAAGAGAAGAGATGCTTGCAGAAGATCTACCAGGTATTGACATAAAACATAGTGGTTTTGTGATAATCTATTTCTGAGCTTTTTTTTAAGAACTGATAGTTTTGTTAATTAAAAGTATAGGTGCTCAACAAATATATTTGTTGAAAATTTGTGCTTAGTGTCCATACAGTATCTCCATGAGAAACTGTGATCTAGCAGTGGGCGATATGACCAACGTCTTCTATCACAATATAAGTAATTTTGTTTCACGATAATAATAATAAATCACAATATAGTTATTTTTGCAGGAAATAAGTTTAATAAAAAAAAATTAGTCTATAAGAAATACTAGTCTAATGTAGAGTAAGACATTCTCAAACATATTAAAGTAAACCGTAATAAAATAAGAACAAAGAATGTAATTACAAGCTATATGACAAAAAAATTACAACAGAAAAAGGTTTTTAATGTAATACGTTTTTCAGGTGTGATTGCTGTGGATTATTAGGGGCCGTTCACATGTTGCACCTAAAACACGTGGAAAACGCTAGCCGCACAGCTTTCTCCTTCTTTCTAAAGTGCTCGGTAGCTTCCGCTCCCGTTGCGTCTGCCGTTGCTAAGCAACCATGACCTGCGCCCTCCATGATGATGTGGAAGTTTCAGCAAAGGATAAATGGATTTCCAGCACTGAAAATCGTTTGCAGTAGCTCTGCTACTAAATTTATTTTAAAATGGCTATCCCTGGACAGCTATGATCAACTGTTCCTCCATCTTGGCTGAGCTTTCAATGATGTTACAGAAAGGGAGAAGGTGATTGGTTGGTTTTTGTCACATGACCTGGGTGTGCTTGCGGCATTCTGAAAATGTATTTATCTCGCTGCGGTGCGGACGCGCCTGGAAAAAACGAGCGCGTCGCTCTACATTTACAATAACGAACTTGAGCGGTCAAAAGATGCGATATGTGAACGGGCCCTAAAGCCTTGTACACACCGGGACGATTATCGCATGCACTTATCGCCAACATTTTTCGACGCATCTTTTGTGTTCATACCCAAGTGATTTTCACAGGCGATGAGCCGAGTGAACGTGCAAATTCACTCCCTGACTTTAGATGGCGCTTAATGAAAAACAGAAATACCCCGGTACACATCGAATCCTATTTGAACTGCAATTCCTCTCCATAACAGCTTGTAAACAATTTCATGCATTTTATTCAACATTTGTTGATATTTCCAGTTAATCAAAAAAAAAAGTTTTTTTGTAACAAATTGCTGAAATATGACTATCAATGAGTAAAGGAAACCACTTAATGGAGTGCATAAATGAATATGAAAACAGGCAATTTTTAATATTAAATTATTGAATAGTACTTTATTTATGTAGACGAAATTCTTTCAAGGCACTCACGTGGTAAGATAAAAAGCCTTTAATGAACTGGGCTTAAATCATTACAACTAGTTAAAAGTAGATGTACGCATTTCAGCAAAACAGCCTTCTTTTTCTCACTTTATATACAGTATATGTATTTTTTTTACTATAGATTCTGACTTTCGTGCAGCACTGATTCTTCTGCTAGATAGTTCTGATAGATGTTGCATTGTTTTACTGATAGATGTTTAACATTTTCTTTTCACAGTGTGATGCTGATACTCCATACCCAACCATACAGTTGGTACAAACTGACTGGAAAATGGCTTTCTCTCTCCAAGAGGCTTCAAGTCCTTGTCAAAGTTGATGGTTTGGAGGTGTGCAGGGGAATAGGAGTTGAAGAAGGGATAATTGCAGCCTTCAGTGCTTCCTATGTAACTTGGCTTATCCACCCTACATGAAGAATACATTGACCTTCCTGCAGCATTCCATGGCAAAGATTACTGAGGTGGGTGGCAAGCCCCTTCCAATAACTGTCACAGGAATAATTCATATCCTGTTTAAAAACGCGACATTCAGCGTGTTTCAAATGTGACTGTTGACAGTGTGACGTATGCTTTAAAAGATGTATTCATAGTTGACTATATCCATGCAGAGGAAATTCCTCTATTTTTACAAATTAAATGCATTTTAAATATCAATACTGTATGGTTTCTGTGTGGGAAGTTTTTAATAGCAGTGTCGTATGATTCACACTTCCATGCATACACCGTAAAAGTTTACCTTGAGTGGAGGGTTATAAAACCAGGGCAAGAGATGGACTTTCAGGCCCTTGACGCGTACTCTGCTGATGATAAATTGTGTGATCCTTAAGAAGGTTTAAGAAAGTTCAAATTAAATGTGTAGTACTGTATTTGGTGAAATGTGTGTTTGTGATTAAATGTTTTAAGGGTATAAAGTTACAATTAATGAAATGTGTACTGTTGGTAAAAGATTGCTTTGTGATTCTTGATGTTCAAAACGGTTGTTTTGTTGAATATAGTAGAAAAATGTACTTAAAATGAGATCTAGTGCTGTTGTAAAAAAAAAAAAAGTGAAATTACTTTATTCTTAATGTTTTATTGGTAAAAATAGAAAAAAAGGTTAATGAAATGGGATGTACTGATTTTGAAGAAATGTTTAATATAATATTAAGCTTAATCTTGCAGTTTACAATTATACAAAATAAATCGTTTTAAAAAGTAATAGTTACAATTAATGAAATGTGTACTGTTGGAAAAAAATTGCTTTTTGATTCTTGCTGTGTACAATTGAGTATAAAAAGTAAACTCTTTTTTTTTCTCCTTTTCGAAAGTAAAATTGAAAATAAATCGTTTTAAAAAGTAATAGTTAAAATTAATGAAATGTGTACTGTTGGAAAAAAATTGCTTTTTGATTCTTGCTGTGTACAATTGAGTATAAAAAGTAAACTCTTTTTTTTTCTCCTTTTCGAAAGTAAAATTGAGCAATATATGCATTCTGTTATGACATTGTGATAGAGCTTATAACATTCATCCTGTGAAAAATGTGAGAATATAATGGTTTTGAATGTTTAATAAATGTGATAAACAGCATTCTGGCCTTTTTAATGTGCTGTATGGAGTACAAATTTGCCATCAAAGGGTACAAAAGGATTGTCACTGGGGCAGTACCCTTAAAAGGACAAATTTGCACCTTTTTTAAAGGTACATTATGGTACCATAGCACTATAAGGTACAATTTAGTCAGCAGAGGTACATATTTGCCTTTGGTACATACTGCAAGGGTACAGATATGTACCCATGTGAAAGGGTACAACGGGTGTACCCTTGAGGGTACTGCCCCAGTGACAAGCCATTGTACCCCTGAAGGTACAAATTTTGCACATTTTGTCTGACAGTGTGTGATGCGTTGTTTGTGTTGTAGTCACGTGCCTGGGAAGAGGTAAGCATCTGTGCATGTACAGTCTGCTTACATTTAGTTGTAAAAGCAGGACAGAGCTATTGCAGATGATCTCAGACATACTGATGCATATTAATGACTGCAGTACATTCTCATCATAAAAATAACTGAAACTAGCTTATTAGCTTATGTATTCAGTTCACACTAAAACAAAATATCTTCACTCTCACGTCCTTTAAGAAATATGGGGGGAAAAAAATTGCTTATTGCAATTGCATTTACAAAAATAAGAATTTGGAAGCTAAAAATTCAAATAAACCTTCCTCTTTGTATATGCTTGACTGCCATCATCCTTCTCTTCCTCGCCTGTTGGCGGACCGTAGTGTTGCCCGTCAAAGTTTTCTGTAGCATAAACACTCTAGACCCACACTACAAAACTTAGATCAAAGATGAAAAAGATAGTGTATTTATTTTTAACTTGTGTTTCGGGCAAAGCAAGAAAGGCGTGTTCACTGCAGTCTCGCACGTGAGGTTAACTTTAGCAAGTTCCTTTATGAGCTTATGAATGCCTGCACAAGTAAAATACTAAAAAGAAATGCTCAACGATGCTTACCAGAAATGTTTTATTGAAATGAGTCCATACATCCATATCTCTTAGTAAATAATCCATTGTTTTTTTTGCATCCAAACCGCACAAACATGGCGGATGTCACCCACGAGCACAGGTACGAGACTCCGCCCACGCTGCGTGAGTGAAGGTGAATGAATCACCTGAGAGCACAATGAAGTGTGTTCAAAATACATACAAGCAAATGTAGCGTCTGGGCCACCCAAACACACAATATATATTTTGTTAGCTAGATTTAACAAATACTCTGTAACACCCAGGAACAGGCTCCTGATTCCATGGTAACCCTGACACCCGATCCATTTACGACCTCCTGGAATTTAGGTGAAGAAAATCCCCTTCCTTGCCCATAAGGAAAATCCACAAGGAATGGACTTTTCTACTAATTAATTCATAGGAAAACCTTTCTTTGAATGAACAGTGTATCCTTCAGGTCATTGGGTATATTATTGTCATCGTGTATTTTGTCTTTGATATTTTTAGACTATTTTAGTATGCTTGTGAGGGAACCCATTCCTGATCATCCCTTTTCACTATATGTAATCTTACCTTGTTTAGTATCTATGAATTTGCCTTCTTATGATCGAAACAAGCGTGTATATTATATGTTGGTACATAGGCAATATATATTAGGGCCCTGAGAATCGTTAGTAATTTCGATTTAAGTCCATTTGCAAATTAACATGCTTAGAGACAAAGGGTCATAAAAACCTCCAGCAATTGCCACCTCCCGCTAGGAAATTTCCATCTCTCTCATTGGACAAGCCCATCTTGAAAGGCGG